ACCTGCCACTTATAATTGTTAACTTATTCTCTGTCCTACTACCCCAAAGAGACTCCCAGAGGCTTTAAAGACATTCAGATAGATGTTGCTGAGTGAGTATGTATGCATCTCTCCTTCCCTCTCCACCCCTCAAAGGCATGCATTGAAGGCACTGAAATATCTGTAACAACTGTCCAGGAGTCCCACAAACATCACAGGCAAGAGAACAGTTTAATGCCTGTCAAACTGCCACAGCTTGTCCTACTAAGACCAGGCTGTCCTGAACACCAGGAAACAGCATTGTTTATCTTTACACCAGTAAAGCTGAGACAGTTTGCAGACAACGCCAAGCTGGGTGCAAGTGTTGATCTGCTTGAGGGTACAAAGGCTCTACAGAGGGAACTGGACAGGCTGAATCAATGGGCCAAAGCCAATTGTATGAGATTCAAAAAGGCTAAGTACTGCATCCTTCACTTGGGTCGTAACAACGTCATACAACACTACAGGCTTGGGGAAGAGTGGCTGGAAAGCTGCCTGGCAGAAAAGGACCTGGGGGTGTTGGTCGACAGCTGCCTGAATACAAGCCAGCAGTGTGCCCAGGTGGCCTAGAAGGCCAACAGCATCCTGGCTTGTATCAGAAATAGTGTGGCCAGCAGGACTAGGGAAGCGATTGTCCCTTTGTCCTCGGCACTGGTGAGACTACACCTTCAATACCGTGTCCAGTTTTGGGCTCCTCACTACAAGAAAGACACTCAGGTGCTGGAGTGTGTCCAAAGAAGAGCAGGGAAGCTGCTGAAGGCCCTGGAGAACAAGTCTTATGAGGAGCAGCTGAGGGAACCGGGGTTGTTTAGCCTGGAGAAAAGGAGGCTGAGGGGAGACCTTATCGTGCTCTACAACTAACTGAAAAGAGGTTGTAGTGAAGTGGGTGTCAGTCTCTTCTCCCAAGTAACAACTGATAGGAGGAGAGGAAATGACCTCAAGTTGCGCCAGGGGAGGTTTAGACTGGATATTAGGATAAATTTCTTCACCCAAAGGGTTATCAAGCATCAGAACAGGCTGCCCAATGAAGTGTTTGAGTCACCATCCCTGGAGGTGTTTAAAAGACATGTACATGTGGCACTTAGGGACATGGTTTAGTGGGACTTGGTGGTGTTAGGTTTACAGTTGGACTTGATGATTTTAAGGGTCTTTTCCAACCTAAATCATTCTTTGATGACCTCCAACAAAACTGTAGTATGTACTACTTCTGAGAAATAAAGACAAATTCATCTCTACCTTTGGCAGGGTGTCCACAAAGACAAAAAAACTAATCATATGTGATCAGGTATCTGATGCTCCTACTTAGAAGAACAACTGAATGGTAACTGGAAGACAAACTTTTTAATATTACTTAAAGGAGGCTAGGTACACTGTGTTCAGTCTCCAACAATTTCCTGCAAAAACAGAAACTATGCTGCAAGAGAGATATTTAAATGTTTTGACTCTGGGAAAAATAATATTTTTACCCAATGTTTCCCCATTCTGGTAGTACCAACAATTCCTAGGTTCAAACCTTTATGCCCAGTAAATCCACTACAGTAAAAGCTCTGGTTTTTTCATTCTCAGTCCTTCTATTCACTCTCTCACCTTCAACCTATCCACTACAAAACACATAAAGATGCCAGTGACATACCCAAAACTCATACAGGAAGTCCATCAGAAAGAAAAAGAAAGGAGAGATTGAACTCAGTTTCCCAGCTAGTTAGTGAGGATCCTTCAGTCTCCATCTGACAAGCCCTAGGATCTCATGCCAAGGGGCATAAGCACAGCAGAAAAGCTAAAACAAAGAATAGACTTTGATGTTTCAGCTAGACTACAGAACATACAGTAGCCTTTGTTCACTGTGAAGAAACAGATGTTGTTACTATGGCATCACAAATATGCATTAACACCTACAAACAAATTGCCAAGAGCATTTTGTGAATAAATACACAACTCCCACATAGAATGTACCCTTCCAATCAAGGAATTAAAGGAAGAGTTTTCCTGCTTTTCATACTTTCCTGCCAGATACAGGGTGGGAGGTGGGGGCAGAACAACATACTTTTATTCTTCAGATTCTTTCTTAAAGTCTCCTCCTGGCATTCTCTTGTTCTTTATGAACATACTGGATAGCCCTCAGACTGCTGAGGTTACTCAAATCTCACCGGTTTTGGAGTGAGGAAACAACTTTACACATAATGCTCGCTTCATTGCTGATTCCCTTAAAGCTTAGTCCACCAGAAAACTATGATAAATTTCAAGGTAGTAACTACCCACAACGGCAAGTGATGGTATGCCCCTTCCAAAAGCACACTGCATATGGGGTGAAGATTAAGTATTCTGTTCCTACAGCTTCTTAAAATCACTTCCCTAAAAAAAACGCATTCAGGAGAAACTAAATTTTCTACTCTTTTTGTCTTTCCTTTCATTAGGTCTGCTTTAGAGTGGATTAAGTAGGCTAGTTAGCAAATTAATATTTGCTTTGGCTTCTGCACAATTTAAGTTCAGGATAAACCTTTGTTGTCATTTCCCATTAAACACCTATCTCAAATACCTGCAATGAAAAAGCAGCAAGACTAACAATGGATAATGTTCTGGAAACTTGCCTCATGAAGAAGGTAGAAGACCTGTTTGCAAGCTCTCAGCTAGGGAAAAAACACTACGTAGATAAAAGTCACTGAACTTCTCTTGGTAGCTCTTTATAAAGGTGCCTTAAGCTACCCTGTGGACAAAATTAGGAAAGTACACCCAGCAGCAGATAGTCCAGAACCACAACCCAAATGGAATACTAGCAGAGAAAAATGTAACAGGAATGAAACTAGCAGTGGCAGTGCAGTTTAACAAGCCTTTTCTGTATCTTATACAGCAGTCTGCTCCACAAAGAAATAAAGGAGTCAATAGGATGCATTCGAGATATGAAAACTTATCTTGCTAAGTTACTTGTACATTCAAACAACCTTCATTTCCTGCAAACAGGTGTGCTGATAAGTTTGATTACCTGCCAAAGAAAGAAAAAACTCAAGCACTGTACAACATGTGACATGTCTCTAGCATTAGAGACATTTCTAATATCCTAAACCACACATCTTATTTCATTTAATTGCTTCTGCACACTTAGCTGTACTTGTGCAACAGCAGGGATGTTAAACCACTATTATAAAAGAGGAAAATGTATTACCACTTTTTCCAGAATGACGAGTCAAAGAAAAACACAAAAACATTGAGAATAAATAAAGACAGAACGTACACCCTTTAAAACATGTACTTTCCCCCAGTACGTAAAGACATTTATCTCCTGAAGTTCTCCTCTTGGTTATCTGTTTGAGCAGACATATATCACCATAACATGCTACCCTAGTCAATTATTTTCAGAATGTGGCTAAAGGGTAAGATAAGATCACCTGTCTACTACCATCACACCCTAGCCACCCACACAATTTGTACACAAGAAGACTCAACTTCCTCCTCCAGCACTACCAGGAACAAGGAATTAAAGAACATTCTGCAAGACTTTAGCAAAACTGAGGAAAAAAGCTTACTTAACTGTCTTTAAAAAAAGCCACTGGAGCAGATTTCAAGAGACCCAAGTCTCTTTTGCAAAGCTTACTCAGGTTAGCCTCATTCCCTCATTTTATACTCCTTCAGAACTCATTCACGATGCAGACTGTTCTTGGAACAGGCACAAGTTAAGAAAAGCTGATTCTGAATTTCAATGATGTATCAGTCCAGCCTCTGGCTTCTCGCAAATGCAAAAATTTGCCTCACTCATACAGGCATTGACATTAGTCAGTACCTCAGAATCCAGCATGAATGCAATAGCAAAACTGATTTTCACGTACTAATATTACTGCACAAACATCTCCATGTAAGATGTGCAGGCTCTAACCTACTGTGACCGGCACACCCTGTTCCTGACTGCAGTAATTAAAAACCTACTTCCGAACTTAACAAAACAGTGAAAATTCTCCAAGATTGGTGGTCTTGAGACTGTGTACACATAGCCTGAGATACTTTGACAATACAAGAGCTACACTACCACAGTTATAAAAGGCCATGTCACTCCAAAAAGGAAAAAAAGATATGTTACAGCATCAGCTTCAAACATATGTTCAACTAATTACTTTTACTGACAGAGTGATGCGCCCAACAGTTCAGAGTATTTTTCACCCCTGGCCCTGGAGGTAAATCAAAGGATGTTTTAGCCACGCTTATGCTTTATGCCTCCTTGTTTTATTTCCTACAGACAGACTTGCTATCTGCCTTCAGCAGAAAGAGGGAAGTACTTTTCTTAAGGTAGAGAAATGGCATAAGCTATCAATACTAGTGCATGTATTCCTTCTCTAGGCATCTCACCTCAAGTGGCTGAGAGAAGAGCAATCTTAAGTCTTGCCTGTCTGAACAGGGACTTACACTCTCAATAGAATTTTCAGGCTGCTGCTTCTTTAGTAAAGCCAGGGTACTAAGACCTTCTGACAACCAATTGGCATCAATGTAATTTTTTTGCTACGTTCTTTCAGTTCTCTGCAGTTCCTATTCTTGTTTCTGCTCTGAACCCTCAGTGTCTTGGTAACTCATTTGTTGTGCCACTCTGTCAGTATTGTTATCTACTGTCATGGCTATACATTTTAGAGAACTGATGAAAAGCAGAGACTTAAGCTCTTTCCTTACTCCTTGCCTAGAATTCCTACTTAGTGCAGAGGCAGTCACAGATGCTGCAATCTGATAACTGTTTTAAAGCATTACATTTAGTATCCTTAAAGGCTTATGTGGTGATACGTACAGGGTTTTCTTGTGGTAGGGAGGAACAAAAGGAAGAAAAGGACCTGGTTTAAGTTTTGTTTGATTCTCAGAAAAGAGGCTAACAGTTTTACTTTCTTAGACTACTGCACAGAAGATTCTCAAGCTGCTACACTTCTTAACTGTTAAGGGCTAAGTGACTTACTCTACTGTCTTGGCCTTTTACTTTGGTACACAAGCCAGTGCTTAAGAACAATCCATACCTTATTTGTAGCAGTAGCACTGGATCCTGGGACCACAGGCACATTGGTCACTTGCACTGATAAGTAGTTATTGTCTATGAGGGGCCAAGCACCTTCCACTTTGCATGTCTGGAAGTGATCCTTAAAAGTCCTCAGATGAGGATCACCAAACAAGCCACAAAATAGGTAAGTAGTAGGAGGAGTCTTCTCCCCTCCCTGATGTTCTCTGGCTTCTGTGTGGCTACTGTAATTGCAGGGATCATGGGTCACTTCAGGGTTAGTGGAGGATGTGGGTCCATCTTTGGAACAATTTCTCTGGCTCATGAGGTCGCTGATCCCAAGCACTGCAGAATGGTAGACTAGATTTCCACGGCATACTTTGGAATTGCGATAGGTACAGGCAGAGTATGCTCGCAGGGCCTTGCAGAACTCCAAGTCAAAGCCCTCAAGACCCGAGTTTAGATGTGAAGTTAAGGATACGAAATCGGTGGTGCACTTCTGGATTCGACAAGGTGTTTGCAGCTGGCAGTCACCTAAGCACAAAACAGATGGCAGAGAGAAATCAAGTAAACCTCTTGGATTGCAATACCCTATTACACACTCACAGGTGCTGCAGAAAACAACCTGAAGACAACTTACAGCGCTCACCCATTAGGGAAACACTATATAATAGAGAAAAAAGGGTTGGGAGGCAGAAAAATAGCAATACAGACCACTTCAAAGGCTGAGATGATCCATGCATGACTTAATCCATTACTTGATATTGTCTAAATGGAAATTAAGAGCACTAACCCCTGCCAAGTATGAGCCCAGCATTTCTTTCCAGATATTAAGGTGATGATGCAATTCTGTGCTTAAGTTAATCACTTAGTCAATAAGCAAGTCTCCATTTAGTCTTTCAGAGCTTTACACAAGTTAGCGAACTTTTAAACAGAATCCTGCCCCTCAGAAGGACGTGGTAAAGGTGGCAAGTGATACATGTTTAGACAAAAACTGAATGAAGCAGAAATCAAAGTTTCTCTTCTAGCAAGCAGGGTGGAGGGAAGGAGGGTAAGGAACTGGGCAGACCATAAATTCAGTTTGCTTTATTTCCCTGGCACTGCCATAACTACAGTTCTACCGCTTGCTTTCTGGGACTAATGAGCGAGAAAACCCACAGCTGTCTGAAATGCAAGTTGCCAGCTAAGGAATCCATATACTGCAATAGCTGTACCTCTTACAGTGTAATTCAACAATAAGACAAGGGGCTAAGAAACCCACTCCCCATTAAAACCTGAAGTACTTATCCGATGTATGCAACAGGTACACAGTTCCGTTTACATGAACAAACCAGTTAGATCTTATCTGGTCACCTGATTTCCGCAAAGAAAGCATAATTACCATCCCAGCAAGCAAACTAGAGTTTTACAGCCCCTCTCCTCCACAGCTTTCACTGTCATGATCTGAAATCCTTCCAGATTCTCACGGCAGTTAACAACAGTCTTCTGCAGGTAACTTTTATACAAGAACTCATAAGAAGCAGAAAAGAAACAAACAAGACTGCACGCTGCACTAAAGGAAACAAACCACACGTTCCATAGGGGTTAAAACTATCAGGACCCCAGTCAAAGGAGAGATCGGGTTCCCTCCTATCCAAAGAGCTGAAAACAGCCATAACATAAAATGGACCTTCATAAAGAATATGTGCAAGACTTCATGCAACAGCTGTCCAAGCACCCAAAACTATCTACAAAAACCATGCTGTGCTTATTTGTTCCTTTTATGACCTATAACATTCAGCTGTATGTATACTCTAATTTCAAACTGTCATAAAGCAGATTCTGAACACCATAAAAAAGCTTACAAAGATACATGAAGTGTGAAAAAAAGGGAAAATACAATATACCTACCAGATACTCTTTTCCTTCCCCTCAAACCCCTCTTTACAACATTTCCCACTCATTTTGTATGTTCTCAAAGTAAAAAAAGGCATGGGTCCAGTCTGATTTTACAGCCTAATTAAAATGTTCCTAAACTCCTGAGACACAATGGGTGGGAAATGAACTGAATAGTAATGTAGCACTTTTCGTTTTTAAACACAGTTGTTTTCTGCAGTTCACACAGTGATGACAGAATATCCAAACCATGAATTTATAAGGGCAACATGTTTTGCCAGTGATGGGTAGCTAACGCAAATCTCCTGTCAAAATCCCAAGACAACACAGAGAAGGAGGCAGTCTCTAACCTACAGCCAAGCGTGACCATAAATTGTATGAGTAAATAGTTAAGTTTCTCACTTGACCTTTGTGCAAGTGAGATGTAGCTTTGCAAAAGAACAGGGAAAAAACCCCAAATTCTGCGTTTTCAGATACACAAACAAAAAAAGACCTATGCCAAGCAAAATGACACAGGCAACACTGGTTCAGAGCCTGACTTTCAAAGCATCAAAACTTTTCTTATATTTCCCTTCAGTTTGATTTGTGATAATATTTTAATCATGTATAAATTAGTCTAGCTGAGCAAATCAGTCAAGCTATCAAATAGTCTAAAAAATCTGTCCCTCCACACTCCTTGCAACTTTAGGAAATTTGCTTGCTGGTTTCAGTGGATTCTTGGTACAGAGAGGGGTGAATGAACTGCGATTTGACTAAAATCGGATAAGCCCCGCCTACAATTTATTTCACTAAAACTATAAATATATAAAAGTGTTCAAGCTAGAGAGAAACATTTTCACAGAACTACAACTGCTCATATAACTTCCGAGTTGAAAACACAGTCCACTTCAGTAGGCATCTGCCGTGTGCGGGGTACCTTCCACCTTCTCCCCAGTTTCCAATCCGCCAAGCGAGCGCTGGCTCTGCCTGAAGCAAAAAGACACAG